CGCTACTCCATCTCCATTCATTTTTATGGAGCTTGTACGGTGAGGCGACAGTTGCTTGTACTCATCCTGACAAGCGAACAGCATAATTTGTTCATGTGAAATTTTGAGCTCATACACGCAGACGTGCACATGCCGGCTAGTGATGCCACACAAGATTGTTGAAAATTCTTCATTTGTCGTTTTCGCTGTCGGCCTGAGTGGAGGAAAACTGAGGCTTTTAACTCCCTGTGTGGTTAGCTGTTACCAAGGAAACAAGAGGGGAAGGAATAACTCGATGCACTGGAGTGAAGCTTTTTGTCATCCACTCTCTTTGATAGAAAGAGACACATGACGAAAACAAACAAGCAATATTATTTCCCTAATTTTATTATGGACCTCATTTCAATTTATTGTGTGATTAATTGATTTATTGTTTATTGCGACAGGCCCAACGGTCTCCTCTGTCGTTGGTGTCTGCATGTAGTCTGGGAAACAGCAGAAACAATCCAACCTTCAACATTCATCCTAACTCAGCCATGCATGGGGACAGTAAACATGTACAAGAAGTTGTGCTTTTTAGATCAGGAGGTTCTAAACTTTTTGTCACATGGGCCAAAATCGTTGAGTCAAAAGTACTTGCAGGCCAAGAAAATAAAAAAGAAACCCTAAAATCAAATGATGTGGTGCTTTTTTGTAGTAATGGGATGTTATTCATTGTAGATCCAAAGATTTTAAAATGATTTTGCACATTTGCTGTAAAAAAAGAATGCATCTAGTTTTCAAAGGGGGTTTTTTGGCTTTCATTTCCAATCCCATGAGACAGGCTTACTAGCCAATCAAAATTAAGGTGGAGGTGGGCCTTGGGTTTTGGCAAAATTTTAATTCAGATCCACCAGAGACCTTTCAGCGATATGAAGCCAGGGGAAAACACTAAAGACGTAAAGACACAGGGAACAAGCAGCACTGGGCTGTGATGGACAAGTTGGGTAGTAAACCAATGGGAGCTGAGCTGGCACATGTTTTTGCACACTGTGCGCAGGAAGGCTGCAGCATGGATCTTGCGGGGAAAATGTTTTGTCACTGCACAAATCTCAAAGCAGCTGTCTGACCCATTTAGCTCGCCTCACGGGGACAACAGCCTCGGCAGACATCTAATCCTCCATGACAATCAGTGTGACTGATTTAAATATTCACTTTTGCTCTTCCATTGCTGCGCCAGAGCTGCCATTTTACGGGGGTTTCCCCCAGTGGGATGCCTAGCTTTACTTGTCCTCCCTGCCCCTTGTTTGCCAGGGTTAGTGTAGTTTGTTTCTTTACTGTAGATATTGGCCGGTTTTTTTATACACCAGTAACAGTGATATCAAAGATGAGTTAACAGTTGATGGACGGAACTGGGCGCGAGGCCTGGAGCGTGCACTAAAAGCACCTCTGCGCGTTGGCCGCTTCGTTCCCAGTCTGCACCTCTGAAGTGTTGAACCACGGCACAGACATCACACATGCCGGCTTTCACTCAAACTTGGCGGTTTGAGAGCTGTTATTGCAGCAGTTTCACCTGTACCTCTGTGAAAGCTAATTTTCTGAGAATCCTGCACTGTGAGCACAATAATACACAATTAATCAAACGTGAAGCTACCAGGAACACGTTATCTTCCAGTGCTGTAATATTCCAGAACTGCAACCTC